GGCGGGTGGGACCCCCTTCTGGGAGTCCCTTAGCCAAGGTCAGGGTGGGGGTTCTCTCAGCGGTGCCGGGGGTTGGCCCGAGGCGGCGATCTGCTCCCAGCCGCCTCCTCACCTGAGATCGCACCTCGTGGGGTCCCCGGCACCTGTCACCTCCTAGGGCTGTCAGCTGCTTTCAGCCGAGAGACTTCTCTTTCTGCCCTGCGAAGTGAGGCTGTGAACGAGGGAATGAGGGTCGTCTGTGACTGGCGGAAGCTGCCGAGGAGGAAGCCGCTTCTGTGGTCACCTTGCAGGGCCCCTTCCGCCTCGGGCGGCCGCTGCCCGCGGAATTCCTCGTCGGTTCCGTGGTTGCGTGTGTCCGAGTTGTGCAGAGAAGCGGAGCCCCCGGGACGCAAGACATGAAGCAAGCAGGGAGCCAGGCTCGTCGTGAGGACTCGGCTCGGGCGACGGGGAGGCCGTGGGGGCAGGTCCGCAGTCTGCAGCGCGGACGGCGGGCTGGAGGCCCCGGGAGAGGTGCCGGTGCTCACCTCGGGGATTTCCACGCGGGTTCGTGGGAAGATGCTATCGCTGACTAGTCGGAGCCAAGTTTGGATTAATATATATTTTTTTCAAAATTGCAAAAGTTGTTGGTAATGCAGTTATTTAAGTTTGTTGATGGTGTTTATCCGCCCTCCTGTAACTTGTTTTTGAGTTTCTTCTTTCAGGATTTGAGATTAACAGATTTTTTCCGAGGACGGGGACGGCTCTGCGGGCTCCGTGCTCCCTCTGGTGGACGGCGGCTGAATGACCGCCCGGGAGGGGTCCCCGAGCCTGGAGGTTCCCCGCGGCCTCGGTGCTGGTCAGTGGCCATGCTCAGCGTGTGGGCCGGAGTCTCCTGAGACAGCTGGCGTCTCGCAGGGCGCCTTGGACTCAAAACGGTCTTCACAGCACCGACAAGATCAGAGGCCATCTTCATGGTGTGAGTTTTTGCTACACTATGATGGTTTTGGGGGGCTCTGGGTGACTCAGCCAACCATTATTCTCCACGTGGCCAAGGTGTGGCGCTGCGGAACCCCGCCTGGGTGCAGGGCCCATCCGCACGCCAGGCACGTCGAGGGTTTACTGTAGCAGGACGAGAGGCGCTCGTTAGCCTGGAGACTGCGTTTGTGCCTCATCCAGTCACCGAGCCGGCAAATGCAGCTTTCAGGGCACGAGCCTTAGGGTCGGCCCTGTGCCCATTGTCTGGCATGACTATCTGACCCTTCTCGTGGACTTGCCTGAGGATGGACAGGTGTGCCTGGAGCAACAGCCGTGGGTCCCGGCGGCCTGCCCGGTGCTCATGCAGGTTGCTGTGGGACGGTGCATGGTGGCAGGTCCCCAGGGGCCACACAGGTTAGAAGCAGCACCGGTGCCCAAGGGAGGGCTGGCGAGGGGCCTCGGGACCTGGGCTTGCTGCCCCCAGACCAGGGCCTTACGAGGCCGAGCCTCTGGGGGTGATGGCTGGGCGTCTGGACCTCAGCCTCACACCGGGAGGAGGGCTCAGGTGCCTGCAGGGGCGGGACGCGCAGTGGCCGGTGGCACGGTGCTGGGGCTCTCCAGGGGCCCCGGGGTCGGCACAAGCGAGCCATGATGGCAAGTCCCCGGCCCGCAACCGGCGGAGGTGTTGGTGTGGCCACGCCTCGTCACGTTCGGACACTCCATGCGGCAGAGCGAGGCCCCGGGCCGCGTCCGTCACGCTCGTGCCCACTCCCCCCACATCGTGTGCTCGGGAACAAGGAGACAGCACGGCTGTGACGAGAGATGCAAACGGGCAGCAGCAGACCCTCGGGACCGTGCCCGAGAGGCAGGCGTTTGAGGGGATGAGGACACTGGCCCACCCGACTCACCCGTCCAGACTGGCCTCTCGGAGGCTCTCCATGCACTGCCCCCGACTCTGCCTGAGCCACATGCTGGGCCGGGTGGCGGCCTGCCCTGGACCTTGACCTGCCCCACGGCCCGCCCTTGACCCTGACCTGGCCCTGCGCACGCTCTGCGCAGCCCGCTGTCCTTGGAGGCCGAATCACGGGGCCTGGAAATGCGAAGTTTTCGTTCTAGTTCGAACCCGCGGCACAGCGAGCGACCTGGCCGCGTTCCGTCTGTGGCCTCAGTGTGCAGGAGGGGCCGTGGGGTGGCAGGGCTTTGGCTGGTCCCTCGGTCTGGCCCTAGTGCTGCCTCCATCCCCGCCCCACGCCCCCCTCTCCCGAGCCCAGGACACGAAGCTCGGCCGCTGCCGTGGCCGTGACTGGGACGCCGCCCGCCAAGGGCCCGCGGCCTCCGTCCACTTTCACTCTCACGGCCGCGGTTGGAAGCGCACGCGGGGCGGCACTGCCGGCGATCGCTGAGCGGCCGCGCACCTGGGGGACGGAAGCCTGTCGGCGTGGCCGCCGCTGCTCTGGTTCTGCCCCTGGGCCCTGTCCTGAGCCCGGCAGCTGGCGGCCCCGTGCGCGTGCGGTGGCCCTTCCCCGGGCACGGCCGTTCAGGATTG